CAGTGATTTGCTGGCTTTTAGCAATTTTGTTTCAAGGTTTGATTGTTTTTCGTCTCTACAAGAAAGTGGTCTTCAATGGTTGTTTGGGCTAGAAAGTGAAAATCCTTGCCACTGCTTGTTGACCATGCTCCTCTTACTAAATACCCGTATGTTCTCGATCCAGAAATAAATGATTCAACCTACAGCTTTACGACGAGTCGTGTTTGTGGTAATATCTTTTTATTAGCTGGAAAATGCTGCGCTTCGTTTTACTTGCTGTCTCGATGTGAAACTAGGAGATAGACCTCTTGGTTTTACAGCCACGCAAGCACCGTAAAAAATCGAGATTTTACCCACCTCGGACGCATGTCACCAATCGGGTGAAAACCAACATCACCACAAAGTTGTCTTTTGTAAAAGCCACAATTATATAATTTCTGTGACGCATTTCCCGTTTCCTGTTTCCCCCCAATTAAAGTGTTTTTCCACAAACAAAAATATCTTGTCGTACAAGATGTTCCATAACTCTTTAGGGCAATTGACCCGCCCCAAACTAACACGCTATCCAGAGGGAGAAGGAAAAAGACTCACTGTCGATTCTTACAACCGAAACCAAGGGAAGCAACAGTCACTGAAACCCCCTGTGGGTTTGGGAATGTGACGAAATTATTTTGTTGTCTTGGGTGGTTTTATATCAGCAACTAAACGGGCATTGATTATAGCACATTATCAAGGAAACAAGCAGCATTTATACTGTATACCAATACAAATAATTGGTTTACAAAATTCAAAAGAAGAATGCAATACATGTTCAGCTATTCAAACATAAAAGAAAAATAATCGATGGCCAGAACGGACAACGAACATTTTACAACAGAGATTAAAAGCAATTAATAGCGTTCAAATCAATTACGATAACACCAGTACAATAGACTACATGTATATGCTGTGAAAGTTGTGATATCTTTTATAGTTTTATCCTTTTTTATCTCTATTATATTATAATTAACTTATTTTTTGTCTATATTTCTTCGTCATCATTTCCCTACGAAGTCGTTTTTTTACCGACAATGCTATGCGGCGTTACCTATACGTAAAGTCTATACGGCGTCTTTGTAGCGGGATGCAGTCATGTAAAAAATCTATGTTGATGTCTCAAGCATCTCGATGCATTACACTAATTAGGGAGTGCGTAGAATGTCAGTTTTAACTGGGAGGAGGGGTAGGTTAACTATTCAGGGAGAAATCTGCGACGGGGGGTGGGGGGTGGGGNACCCTGTAGGTTTGGTTAACCGCGACAAACAGGAAAACCTTTATCTCTGCAGAAAATGGAAGAAAATTGAGCAAAACTAGCATCATAGAACCAGTGATTTGTTGGCTTTGAGCAATTTTGTTTCAAGGTATGATTTTTTTTTTCGTCTCTACAAGAGAGTGGTCTTCAATGGTTGTTTGGGCTAGAAAGTAAAAAATGCTTGCTGCTCCTTGTTGACCATGCTCCTCTTACTAAATACCCGTATGTTCTCGATTCAAAAATAACGAACAGTTTTGATGACGAGTCATGTTTGTGGTAATCTTTTAACAAGCTGGAAAATGTCGCGTTAGTTTAATATTTGCTGCGGTTCTTTCTACTTGCTGTCTCGTCGTGAAACCAGGAGGTAGACCTCTTGGTTGTGCATCCACATAAACACCGTAACAAATCGAGATTTTATCCACCTTGGACACATGGCGGCTAATACCAACTGGGAGAAAACCAATATCACCGCAATGTAAAAGCGACAATTATGTAATATATGTGACGCATTTCCCGTTTCCTGTTTCCCTTCAAATTAAAGTGTTTTTCAACAAACAAAAATATTTTGTTGCACAAGATATTCAGGGTCAAAGTCTTCAGGTAATTGACCCGCGCCAAACTAGCAAGCTATCCAGAGGGAAAAGGAAAAAGACGCCCCGTCGCTTCCAACAACCGAAACCAAGGGAAGCAAGAGTCGCTGAAATTCCCGGTAGATTGGCCGCCGTGGAGCGTTTATGTTACTCTATACGTTTACTTATTTGGGAATATTACGTATTTATTTTGTTGTCTTGGATGGTTTTATATCAGCAACTGAAATGGCATTGATCATAGCACATTACCACGGAAACAAGTATCCCTTATACTGTATACCTATACAAAGATTTGGTTTACAAAATTCAACAAAAGATTGCAATCATTTTAATACATGTTCAGCTATTCAAACACACAAGAAAAATAATCGATGGCCAAAGCGGAAAACGAACATTTTACAACAGAGACGGGAAGCAATCTGTAGCGTTAAAATCAATTACGTTTAGACTAGTACAATAGACTATATTCGGCGAAAGTTGTGACACCTTTTTATAGTTTTATTCCTTTTTACCTTGACCCCTCATAAGCTAATTATTATTTTTTTTTGCCTAAATCCCTTTGTGTCTATTCCCCTAGAAAGATTTTTTGGACTTTTAACGTTCTGCGGAAGGTGTAACAGGAATGCAAGTCCGCTAGGAACCGTAGTCCGTTCTCCATTACTTTGTACAGGTGACACTCGTCCCATATATTAACCCCAATACTCCAACAAACTCTAACCTAGCTGTACTTATCATATGGGAGCCTGGACTTCCATTCCTGTGACTTCCATTCCTGTTACACCGGCATTACGTATACGTAGAGTCTATAGGATAACTTTGCAACCGGGAAGCAGTCATGTAAAAATCTATGTTTTAACATGTCTGAAATATGTCGATGTAATGCACTAATAATGCAGTACGCAGAACGTCAGTTTTTAGGGAGGGGGGTTAAATATCCAGAAAGAAGAAATCTGCGACCGGGGTAGGGTCTCCCTACACTCGTGTTTCCTGCCCTTATGATTGACGGTTGAAATAGTGGAGGGTGGAAGGCTTTCTTATTTGACTACATTGATGATATTAACGTACGTGTACCATCTTTCTTTTTTCTTTACTTCCAAGAGATCTGTTTACAATTAACGGCATGAGAAGACGCAATAAACATGCACTACTGCATATAGTTTCAATCTGATTTCTAATCAAACCCGATGGTCTTGTTGACAATCTTAATACTAATCACACTGGATGCACTTGTGGGGACCGAAGCCACGAGTACAATGGATTATCTTTAATAAACAAACAACTGAGTGTGTATAATTAACTAACAATCACTGTGTTTATTTCTGTATCTGTTAATTGGAATCAGCAAAGGTCAAAACAGCAAGAAGAATTAGATTGTTTGGCAATACTTACTTGGCACGAATTGTATCTCTAGAAGATGTACATATATTGTTACGGTTTCTGTTTATACGTGTCAAGTGTTGGCCACACGTGTTATTCACGTAGATAGATTCTTCTTGGAAGGAGACAATAAAATTCACGATCAGATCCTCTGCTAAAGGTTTCTTTAAGATGAAGCGCTCTTATTGTCTTGGAAAATTTCTTCCCCGAGGCAAGCATTTGGGTTATGCCTATAAGGGTTCTTGTGGTCTTTCCAACGGCAGTGGCCGGGAATATGAATGACAGTCACTCCGATGCCAAATCAAATTATCTGGTGACATTAATTTGCAGTATTGCGGCGTACGACGGAAAGTGATTTGAGCAAGTCGATTATCGTGTAACCATGGTTCTGTCAGGAGTCTCGCGAGACGCCTACGTCAATTGCACAGCATCGGAGCCAATAATCTAAAGTCTTCCGTCTTTGCCACTGAATACACAAGCAGCGAGGTAGCCTCTCTGAATATTTACAGACAGCTATCTCCTCCTTCTGCGCATGCTTCCTACGGTATATAAACTCCTGCTCAGCCAGTTTCATTCAGATCACAGTTGCCACTGATCAGAACCAGAAAACTTTAGTCGCAGCTTAGGCGTTCAGCTACTGTCAAGCTACACATTGGACTTAACCGCTTTTAGACACTATCACATTTTCTCTGTGGCGCTTCAAGTGGAAGCAAGCTATTTACCAAGTATTAGTGCATTGACATTACTTACATCTAGAGAAATGGAGTGCGTTATGACGACCTCGGCGACAATCATGCCGATACATGGACAGTTTAGTTTTAAATGCTGGAGAGAGCGGCAGTGCCTTAAACCAGGTATGTTCTGGCAAAAACGCTGAGGCAAAGAAAACGTGCGCGTGTGCGTGGCTCGAAGCATTATCGGTGGGGGTTATTTTGTTCTCGGTTTTCCAATTAAAACATTTATTAAAATATATTTTCAAAAAATTAGAATATTATTTTAAAAAACTGATAGGTTAGGTGTTTTGTTGAATATTATGTCAAAAGGATCATGTCGACGAGTTTTTTACAGGCAATATCTAGTTTGGTTTGCTGATACAATCGACTGTAAAAACCATGGGCGTGTGTTTATTGCTTGACGCCCACGAAACGATTATGTATCAAGCAATATCGTGATAAAATAAATTGTCATTTAATATCAAACACGAAGTTAAACACGCACCGTGCATTGTTTATTGAATTTCCGCACGCAGTATCTAAAACCTTCACGATTTTTGCATTGTTGAAACGTTTCGGAAACCGCGCCATGCACCATAGAACTGAAATTATAGCGCTCTTCATGTCTTTTGTTTTATCGTCGATAAACCTACCCAAGCATAATTACATATTTATCTTCTTATTAAACGTTATTGCAACTCCACGAGTAGCTCACCGGTATGATAAAATGCCAGGCTGAAGGTGCGAGGCAAAAATAGATTCCGCTTTCATATCTTATATTCTGCGTTAGATCAACTAAATTACGGCAAAATGCGTCACTCGGTATCATTGGGTTTGAAATGTTATTCTGCAGACGATCACAAGACAACCATGCTGGCGTTTACTGACGTGCAATATACTGACTGCACTTAACGACGCAGGGGGATGTATATTGCAGATGCCTAGGTTAAAATACAATCCGCTAAGGGTTGCTTTCCGTATATTTATCGTTAAAAATCTATCATTTTTACAAACCTTCTAATAGTTTCTTTTTCATCTTTTTTCAAACAGGAAGCGGAACGATAGAATTCGACGAATTTTTAAGTATGATGTCAAAAAACAAAAGCAGGGATCCAGAGAAAGAATTGTTGGACGTGTTTCACGTTTTCGACCAAAATGGTGACGGGCACATAGACGCAGACGAACTTTACGACGTCTTAACAAAAATAGGAGAAGTCATAACAAAGGTGAGTTACATGTAAGTGAACTGTGAAGTCGAGCGCTGTACATAGCGTCTGTTTTCAGCCTTGAAACGCCAGCAGCATGGTGAAAATGTAGAGCAGAGTTAATATTGCACACTTGAATCGATATCGGAGAGTAATAAATGCCCCATTCACGATATAGGCAATCTGTTTAATGGCAAACAAATGGCGAAAATAGAAATGCATCTGAGAATACTTAGTTCAGATATCTGATGGGAAAAAGCCAGCACGTTTTGCAACATTGGCAGCTCTTTAAACAGGTCGAGGGGTACCGGGGGAGGCGGCCATTTTGGCTCAAAATCATTCCATCTGCACTAACAAACTGTGACAAGTATAAAAAATTTGATTCTTCATCACTTAATTTAATACAGAGAACTAAGATTGAGATTGAAATAGTCCAAAAACTCTTATATTAGAGAAAAAGTCCACCTTTTATTTTTAAAACACCACAAATTGATATCGTTGGTAAAATACGTGTTATGTAATTCGGGAGTGGAAATACTACTTAAAACTTCAACAGCATTTCAAGCAATAATTGTTTTGAATGTTGTGATTCGGCATTGAGATTATAATTGGTGATAAATTATCTGACTGTATTTTGGCCCTGATTCTTCATTTTGGAAAATCAATTAACGACAGCCTAAATAGCTTTGAAAAACTTTCTACGTTGGCCTAAACAAATGTATTTTTAAAATGATATACAGTGTAACTTAGAGATCAATTCAGGCGGAAAGTTTATCCTCATTATTCTTGTTTTTCCAGGCGGAGGTTCGTGAAATGATCCAAGAAGCTGATGTTGACGGTGACGGCACAGTAAATTTTACAGGTAAATAATGTTGCACAAGACACTTGATTCTTCATCTAATTAGATAACGTCAATATTTCGTAATAAGCGTGTGAAGCCGGATGACGAAACCCTACCAGTAGCAACATATCGTGATGAATACAGTGTACTGTATCTTATGAGAAACACCGAAAATACTTAGAAAATGTCTGAAGAAACTCACATCCTCTTTCGGTAGTCTTCTCTATTCATCTTACTATCCCTTATGTATATAATTTTCCAACATAAGAATAAGCTCATTGCTAGTTTTCCTGTCCCCGTTGACGTCACTGCTGCGGCCTAATTTCAAAGTCATCTAAGAATATCACTTGTAAAAGATCTCTGTGTCGTATTGGTAGACCACCTGTTGCAATTATGCAAATATGGCTTATTTGAAGTAAACATAATATTAATATTGTACGTTCTAAATTTCAGAGTTTAAAAGAATTCTGACGGCGAAATAAGTAAACCTAATATCTGACTATCATCTGTGATTCTGGGAACTGGCATGGCGTTGGAGTTGCGCAACGTTAAAACGCGACGGAAAGGCCCCCTACTGAGCCAGGCAGGAGAAACGACTTTATGCAATAAAAACTTCGGTTCTTATTAACATCAAGACTACACAACCGGCCTGACTCTGTAGATCATGTACCGAGTGTGTCTGTGAAGATTTCAAAAGGTTTCCCGCAAAAATGACGTGTCTTAAAACGCCAGACAAGAGGCAGCGACGTCTTATGGCACTTAAGCGTTATTAACTTTCTGTTTATTTTGCATGTTTTTTGCGTTAGATAACCTCAAGAAAATTCATGTTAAATGAAAGCATTGTGCAGACGCTTTCAAGGAGACATACGCGCAATTACTTATTTTTTAAACTTGNTGAGGCAAAGAAAACGTGCACGTATGCGTGGCTCGAAGCATTATCGGTGGGGGTTATTTGTTCTAGGTTATCCAATTAAAACATTTATTAAAATATATTTTTTAAAAAATTAGAATATATTTTTTAAAAATTGATAGGTTAGTTGTTATGTTGAATATTATGTCAAAAGGATCATGTCGACGAGTTTTTTACAGGCAATATCTAGTTTTGTTTGCTGATACAATCGACTGTAACAAACATGGGCGTGTGTTTTTTGCTTGACGCCTACGCAGCGATGATGTATCAAGCATTGTCGTGATTAAATAAATTGTCATCTAATATCAAACACGAAGTTAAACACGCACCGTGCATTGTTTTATGAGGTATCTAAAACGGTCACAATTTTCACATTGTTAAAACGTATGGGAAACTGCAGCACGCACCAAAGAACTGAAATTATAGCGATCTGCATGTCTTTTGTTTAATCGCCGATAAACCTAGCCAAGCACAATTACATATTTATCTTCTTATTAAACGTTTTTGCATCTACACGCGTAGCTCAACGGTATGATGAAATGCCAGACTGAAGGTGCAAGACAAAAATAGATTCCGCTTTCATATCTATGTTCTTCGTTAGATCCACTAAATTACGGCAAAATGCGTCACTCGGTATCATTGGGTTTGGAATGGTATTCTGCAGACGATCACAAGACAATCATGCTGGCGTTTACTGACGTACAATATGCTGACTGTACTTAACGACGCAGGGCGATATACAGTGCAGATGCCTAGGTTAAAATACTATCCGCTAAGGGTTGCTTTCCATATATTTATTGTTAAAAATCTATCATTTTTACAAACCTTATAATAGTTTCTTTTTCATCTTTTTTCCCACAGGAAGCGGAACGATAGAATTCGACGAATTTTTAAGTATGATGTCAAAAAACAAAAGCAGGGATCCGGAGAAAGAATTGTTGGACGTGTTTCACGTTTTCGACCAAAACGGTGACGGGCACATAGACGCAGACGAACTTTACGATGTCTTAACAAAAATAGGAGAAGTCATAACAAAGGTGAGTTACATGTAAGTGAACTGTTAAGTCGAGCGCTGTACACAGCGTCTGTTTTCAGCCTTGAAACGCCAGCAGCATAGTGAAAATGTAGAGCAGAGTTAATATTGCACACTGGTATCGATATCGGAGAGTAATAAATGCCCCATTCACGATATGGGCAATCTGTTTAATGGCTAACAAATTGGCGAGACTAGAAATACAATTGAGAATACTTAATTCAGATATCTGACGGGAAAAAGCCAGCACGTCTTGAAAAAAAAAAAAAAAAAAAACGGCAGCTATTTAGCCAAGGTCGAGGGGTGCCGGGGGAGGCAGACATTTTGGATCACATCAACATTCCGTCTGCACTAACAAACCGTGGCTGGTATAAAAACTTCGATTTTTCTTTACTAAATTTTAGATTGAGAATTTTGACGGAGAGCTAAATAGTCTAAGTATTCTCATATTATACAAAAGGTCCACCTTTTATTTTTAAAACACCCCAAATTAAAATTCTATTCACGGGTCTGAATAGTGTCCGTAAAATACGTGTTATGTAATTCGGGAGTGGAAATACTACTACTAAAAAAAAAAAACTTAGCGCTTAAGGCCATAACTGTTATGAATGTAGAGATTCGGTATTGAAATTAAATTGGTGATAAATTAACTGACTGTATTTTTTCCCTTCATTTGGGAAAATCAGTTAACGGCAGCCTAGATAGGTTTAAAATCTTTCGAGGTTGGCCTAAGGAATTTTATGTTTTAAATGATATGCAGTGTAAATTAGAGATCAATTCAGTCTTAAAATTTATCCTCTTTATTCTTGTTTTTTCCAGGCTGAGGTTCGTGAAATGATCCAAGAAGCTGACGTTGACGGTGACGGCACAGTAAATTTTACAGGTAAATAATGTTGCACAAGACGCTTTCTATAATTCCCTTATCTACTGAGTTAACGTCAATATTTCGTGATAAGAGTTTGGAGCCGGATGACAAAACCTTACTAGCATCAACATATCGTGATGAATACAATATTGTCTAAGAGAAACCCCGAAAATACCTTGAAAATGTCTGAAGAAACCCACATCCTCTTTCGGTAGTCTTTCTCTATTCATCCTGCTATCCCTCATGTATATAATTTCCTGGTGTAAAATAAGCTTCTTGCTAGTTTTCCTGTCCCCGTTGACGTCACCGCCTAACTTCAAAGTCATCTAAGAATATCACTTTTAAAAGACCTCTGTGTCGTATTGTTGCAATTATGCAAATACGGCTTTTTTGAAGTAAACATAATATTATTATTGTGTCTTCTTAATTTCAGAGTTTAAAAGGATTCTGACGGCGAAATAAGTAAACCCAATATCTGACTATCATCTGTGATTCTGGGAACTGGCATGGCGTTGGAGTTGCGCAACGTTAAAACGTGACGGAAAGGCCCCCTACTGAGCCAGGCAGGAGAAACGACTTTATGCAATAAAAACTTGGGTTCTTATTTACATCAAGACTAGATAACCGGCCCGACTCTGTAGATCATGCACCAAGTGTGTCTGTGAAGAATTCAAAAGGTTTGCAGAAAAAACGACGTGTTTTAAAACGCCAGTAAAGAAACAAGAGGCAGCGACGGTGCAAGTCTGACCCGACTTATGGCACTTAAGCGTCTATATCAACTTTCTGTTAATTTTCCATGTTCTTTTTTGTTACAGAACCTCAAGAAAATTCATTTTAAATGAACGCATCGTGCAGACCCTTTCAAAAAAACAGTTACTTATTTTTTTAACTTATTATTTTATTAAATACGAAGTGGTATCACAGGACATCGCATGGTCCCTTGGTCGTACTCGGCCCTCTTCGGTCTTTTTCGGTATTCACAGGCTTCACTTTAGGTTTAAGTCCAAAAAACAATGAAATAATACATATTGCACTGAGTTAAAATTCAACGTTACATTATGTTGCCTTCTTCAGTGTGCGTTTTACAGTGTTTTTGTTAATGACTGACGCACGGAACCGTCATCGGTGATTCTGTTGACTAATACTGGAGCACCCAAGCAAATGCAAGTGCCATTTCCCATATTTGTAAATATACTCTTTACAAAGTGTGATATTTGAAATAAAATAATTCATTAAGCTGTTAAAATGTTTGTTGACACAATCTCTCTTTCTCTCTGTCTCTCTGTCTCTCTCTCTTTGAAAGAAAATAAATCATAAAACACTGTTTTAGTCATGACACAATCTCTCTCCTCTTTCTCTATCTCTCTCGTTTACTGTAAATCATAAAAACATAATTCCGTTTACGCCTCTCATCATGCCATGTTTTTCATGTGTTAAAGGAAAATGACAATTGAGTAGTTTCCATGGCCTTCCAGAATTTACCTGGTAAACAAGACACAGCGATCGCGATAGTTGTAATTATCTGTAAAACATCACCTTCTGCATTGCATTTGGTGTCCTATACATACATGTTATTAGTATCTTATTTTTCTTTCCATTTTGTAATTACACCAAGTCCTTCTCTCTCTCTGTCTCTCATCTTGATCTACTGTAAATCATAGAGTCATTTACAAATACAACTCATCCTGCTACACTTTTCATGTTTCAAAGGTAGATGACAATTAAGGAACACAGTAACAGTAGTTTCCAACGCCTTGCAGAATTTACCTGGTAAACAAAACACAACGATTGCGATAGTAGTGTTTATATTTAAAACTTCGCCGCCTGCATTGCACGTGGTGGGATTTGAGGTGCAAATATGGCAAAATGAACCCACAAATTTTGACTTTTGATTGAGCAATAAATAACAGTTAAAATGCACCTGAATGCAGTAGGCCTATTATACATACAGTTTTTAAAAATTTTCCACACAGGGGGACCCCCCTCCCCCCTACGCCCCCTCGTGTCCGCTTACTGCCCCCCCTGGCATTTTTCTGAGGCTACGGCCCTGCCAAAATATATTATTTGTATCTTACTTTTCTTTCTTTTTTGTAATTGTGCACCAAATCCTTCCCTCTTTCTCTCTCTCTCTCTCTCTCTCTCTCTCTCTTCTGTAAATCATACAAACGTTTCCGTTCACAAATACGACTCATCATGTTACATGTACGCTTTTCGTGTTTCAAAGGAAGATGACAGTTAAGGGAAACGGTAACAGTAGTTTTCAGCTCCCTGCAGGGCTCCGTTACTCCAAAGCATCGCGAATTGCGAATCGCTTTTTAAATCGAGGCTATTAGGGTCTATATGGGGCGAGTAAATCCCGAGTAATGGAATCGAGACGCTTGCGATCGGTCGCAATTCGCGATGCTTTCGAGTTACGGAGCCCAGAACTTACCTGGCAAACAAAACACAACGATTGCGATAGTAGTGCTAAACTTTAAAACATCGCCGTCTGCATTGCATTTAGTGTCCTATATGTTATTAGTATATATATATTTTTAGTAACAAAAACAACATTTTTCTTCCCATAGTTTTTCTTCATTTATTTTATTTTCTGTATTTTTCTTGTAGTAAACACATATTTTGACGTGTGTCATTGACCTTCTTAGGCCTTAAAATAGGGGAAAATCACTTTACACAAAACACGGGATCTCCGTTCTTAGATTAATTTTACTATTTACACTCGCAGAAATTTAAAAAAATAATCCCAAATGGAAATTTGCTTATGGATAAAGGACCTAAAACAAACCAAGACACTTTAGAATTAGAAATATAATGCCATGTAAAATTCCTTTGGTATTTTGGCGGTTTGAGGCTTAAAAAAAACGAGACAATAAAAAAGTGTAATAATCACAGGGCTTAGAATATTACACATTAAAACACCAATATACAGTAAGCTATAATAAGGTGTGGGTGGAAGAGGGTAAGGTCACATCAGAGGTATATCTCGAACCCAAGTATGTAACAGCGCGATTCGTGAATAATTACTTTATAGTCTTGCACACTAACCACTACACAGACGAGCTGAAGTTGCAAGCCTTCCATTTTTTGTCTTATATATGGTTTACAAGAAGGATTTTCATATACATTTATAATTGTACTATTTGACGGTATAATTGCATAGAAGAGCTTTTATGTTGACGAGAAGGAAGCGATTTCACATTTAAATTGAGTAGTTGCGGTTTTCCTTATGGAATTTGCAGGAAGGCATGGAGCTCAACGTGACTTTTGAAATGTATCCACGGAACCAACATTCATCTTTCAACTTTGTTATTTCTTGAATATTACCATAATATATATCCGTTGAGACCTACAATGGGACCAACCTACATGGCTAACACGCTACCGTTTACACGTCCCGCACGAAAACGCAGTAGATGCTCCAGCGCAGTAGACTACTGCAAATGTGCCTCAAATCTGCTTCGCATTGGGAGCTAATTAGCATATTTGAAACATGCTGCTATCATGCTGCTAATCTACTGCAGTAATGCTCCTCCTCTGTACAACCATATATAATTTTTGAAGTAGAATTGCAGTAGGGTATACTGCATTACTACTGCAAATATGCTCCACACCACTACTGCGTTAATGCTTCTTTGCTACTTCGATACTACTGCATTTTCGTGCGGGGTTGCTAAGTCGTTGGAACCTGACAAACACGTGTTCCCAACGTGGTGTGTAAACTTCCATGCAGACAAACACGACATATCACATTGCGTGTGAAAGAAATCATTTTGGTTGACATTTCATGTTATTTGTTTCCAAAGGGATTGATTTTTGTCAACCTGTGCTATTTCGAGATTAGATTAGTCAAAACAACTCAGTCGTCAGTTTTGTTGCACTTGTGTAGACCTCCTATCATATTTTAAAATACATTTCTCAAAAGAATATCTGCACTGTTTATTTCGGCAAAATAAGCAACCCACCCATTTTCAGTGACCTATACTAGGCGTCCTCAGAAAATTAGACAAAATAAATATTAATTGTTTTTTCAAAATAAATCCCCATATCCAAATTCCTATACAGGTCAATGGAAAATCAACATTATCTTTCCTTTTATTCGACCAGAGGTTGGTTTTGAATTTAGCAAGGTTGTGGAAGGAATAATGACCCTAGGAATGGACGTCCAGTGTGTCAGGAATGGAAGTCTGGGGTCCCGTATGATTTGTACAGGTTAGGGTTAGTAGCGGTATTGTGGTAAGTACTAGTATATGGGGCGTATGTCACCTGTACAAAGTAATGGGGAACAGACTACGGTTCCTAGCGGACTACCATTCCTGTCACATTGGGTATATGGAGAAGGTTCCGTGAGGAGACCAATTGAAGTGATCATTGTCTTGACATTCTTGAATGCGATTTCCTATCTGCCCACGATAGCTTCCGCACATAATTAAGGCATGGTGTCGTTCTGTGGCGCAAGGCCTCTGCACGACTATACATATAGAGTTAATGAAACAAGAAGTGAATAATTGGAGGAGAGGAATGACAGTGATTTGACAGATCCTTTGTATTTCTTACTATAGATATTTTTAGTAGACATCGGTGTCGCTTTACAGCCTTAATGAATATCACTAAACCATTCAAAAATTGATTTTTGAGCTGAGCGGACATGCAAGCAAACCGCGTAACCGTTTACTTGTTACACAGTTGTAAGAATTTGGAATTTGGAACTCGAAAAAAAAAATTAAACTCGTCAAGTATACTCAAAATGCAAGGAGGACACTAGAAGAAGAAAAAAACAATAACTGAATGTTTCAATCAAAAATATTGGATACAGTGTCTTCTGTCGTCCATGCAAGTAGAAACCAACCGAAAGCGAGCTACGCCTTTTGTCTTAATTTGCAGCACGAAATGTCTCGCCTTGTCTCCAGACACACAAACACCCTGAAATTATCACGAATTTCCAGTTTTCAATGAAAAATTATTGTCAACTTTGCTGTCACAAGAAACCATGTGTTGCATTACAAAAGACCATGGAGGCCTACACAAAATTTTCTGCACGCTTTCCATTCAGCGTGATGGCTAATATTTCCAGAGACCTGCATTGTCTTCAGAGACAACACAGCCGTCCAGCCTTCCGTTTTTCATGATATCGAAGCAGAAGCCTCACGTAACCGCAAATTAATTCATAAATCTGGTTTCAGTAAAAGTTAACCTCACGCCAATGGAGATGATGTCGCTTTCAAAGACAGCGAGAGGAAGCGTGGGATAAGCCGGGCTATGAATTAGTTGGAAGACATACGTTCCTCCTATGTATTAACGTGTATAATGGACGGGTATTAAAGAAAACGTACCTCGCAGTATCACAGATCCTTTTGTCGAAACAGATTCTTTAAAAAAGCTTCCATAAGCCTATTAAACTCAGATAGCTTGTTAGTTGAGGTCAGCTTAGCAGTGCCCGTTTTAAGCCGTTCTAAGAACGTCAAGCCCACTTAAAAGTGGTTGACTTAATTCCATAAGTCGGCTAAATAAATCCGCTGAGGATACAAACCGGTATATCCACGCAATTAAAGGGTTTTATTTTCTTACAAAAGGATAAAATAAATAGCTTTATAATTACAGATTTTGTAAAACGTACCTCACACGACCAATATAATTACAGTTGATATCTGAGCTTAGACAGTTTATAGCCTACGTATCGTTGCTTTGTGTGAAAGAGCATTATAGGCCTTGTGGTTTTTGCCTTGTTTTCTCTTT